GGTTTATAGAAATCATACAGCTTTAGGCTGGAGATGTGGCTGCGCAATTGGAGTGGCACAGTGCCGATGTTTTCCAACCATTCATATAGTTCAAAAGCCGAGCCCACCCACAATAAAATATTACTCCACAGTCGTTCCCTTCTTCTGATAACTAATATTGATTGCTATACAATACTTTTGAATGGGTTGTTAACACTTAAGGAAACGCGCTCTACTTAGAAGAATTAGTTGTGTGTGTGGTCCACACCGTTACTCGGTGCATTTTCGATAGTTTTATATTTAAAATCATAATAGTAATGATAATAATAATCCGCATATCCAATTGATATTTGAATTAAATATTTCTGAGCATCAAATAAGGTAACGATCACTGATTGATTGTTGACTCTTGTGTGGAGGGGAGGGCTGCAGTTTCAAACACTCCTTATTTTGCGGTCATATAAGTGGTCTTGGGTGTGGTATATGTTTGGGGCCGTACACATCATGCTTGTGTTAGATTTTATCATGTTAAATAGACTGGTTCGATTTTCGCACTGGGGTGACTGGGGACAGAAGAAGAATGATTTTAATGCAGCAGCATGTTATGCAAAGAGCATACAATCCTTGTATAATTTATGGTATTAAGAATAAAAATCTAGCGTTTGTTATTATTATATGATCAGTATACTGTTGTGATTGGCTGTTAAAAAAAATAATAAATAAATAAATAAGTGATGTTTGTATTTGTGATTGGCTGTTAAAAATAAATAAATAATATTTGTATTAATGTTACAAATTATTATTATTAGTAGTAGCAGTAGTATTACTATTATAACAATGCCAATACATAATTAAATCGTTCTTTGTACTTAACTACTGTACTTTAATTTTTTGACTAAATCAAAATCAAAAATCATATCTAAGTTGAGATACACACACACACACACAGACACACACACAACGATTGGGCTAGTTGGTAACCCTTGTTCTGTGAACCCTTATCTTCTGTTTTGAGAGATTCACATTTGATCTTTATTGTTTATATTATTTTGTATGACACTAACCTAACATGCTTTAAAGTTTAAGAACATAGTGTATAAAATACACCTAATATAAAGTGCAAACCACAATAACTAAATAGTGTTGGAGCTTGACAGCCAGGCATTTCTCCCACTAAATAATTACAGTCATCACATATTAGTTTTTATACTGTATCTACTGTTGCGGTAATGTAATCTAGAGGAATTTGTGTGTTATTTCGCTGGAATTTGACACGTATAGCTCTCTTGATTGAGTTTTAACTGTACACTTTAGTAGGGCGTGCGTCTCAATCCATGGGTATTTCCTGTTCCACACAGGCTGGTTTCCTGTCAGGTTTCCTTTTCCTCCTGAAACAAAAGACAGGAATGCGCTCTGTATAAAATAGCACTGTGCTTTCAATGGGGTCCGTACATCCCGACTGAATCATGCATCCTCTGAGGGACGAGCAGTGATGAGGAAGTTGGCTGGTAGATCTCTAATATGACATTTTTCAAAATTGCTTTCCCAGTGAGAATCTTAACATACGGTAGCATAATGTATTATTTATGCAGTGTGTTCAGTTATTGGCATGCCTCACCATAAATCTACAACACCAAACCAGCCTGTGGTTCTGGATGGTTTAAGCCAGCCATGCAAACACGGCCAATTTATAGCCTAAGGAAAATGGCACCTTCGTGAGTATTTTAACCTCATTGTGACAAGAAGCTTGCACTTGTACGCTGACCATCGCCTAGCACTCTGTTTCATAGAGATTAAGGAATTTCGCCTTTTGACAGGCCTGTCTGTACGTATATACGAGCATGAGTGTGGAATTAGATTTTCTATTTTTACAACCCTCTGTAATCTTGGGAAAGACTGCCAATCATGAATTATATGGTGGAAGCTGATATGTCTGTGTGTAAGTAACGTGTAACAGTCATAATAGCAGCTCTGGCCTTATCTGGCACCGTGAAGGCATTCCTTAACTCTGCCATACTTATCATGCCACAGGCTGCTGCTGTGGGTCGCCCCGATACTGTCCGCGGGATTAATGCAAATTAATGATGACTGTCATGCAAGTTCAAAAGTCAAAGTGGGAAAAAGAATAGCTAGGAGAATGTCCCATGATCCCCTTTGCCATTACATTTTAATCTGTAAAACAGCAGCATGACTTGTAAAACACACTCAGTTTGATATTTGGATGCTGCATGCTTTATGAAAAGTATATTTCTATAAAAAATGCAAAGGAGGAATCATTCCTTTGGTGTTAAACAGTATCAAAGTTCTAAACTCACTCAACAATTAACATCTTTCAATGCCTTGTGTTTGTTTATCTTCAGTTTTTTTGTTTTTGTGATGAATCTATGCATTTATTGAGTATGAAGGTTAGTGGATGTTAAGGGTTTCACAGATGTCTATAACTGAAATAACAACGGGAAATCTAGGCATTTGGTTCAAGTTTTTAGAAAAGCGAAAGGAAGGTTTGACTGAGATGTGAATGGAGACGATCACATGCACGTGTAATGCTGCTTTCTCCAGAGGGGCTCGTCTGCCACGTTTGTTTTCTTTAATAAAACTACATCACCCCAGCTGAGCGCCTGCAATGAGAGCAAATGTAGAAGTGACCCTGGACAGATCTGTCTGCCTCTGTTCTGTCTCACATATGAGTCATGAACAAGACTAAGAAATCTTGTAGTTATTGAGAATCACATCTTAAAATGCTTCTCCAATACAACATGTTTAGTGGTCAATGTGAAGTTAATGGTTGTTATTTGTAGTGGTTGTTATAAGTGAACTATTATTATTATTATTATTATTATTTTCTCAATGATGAAACTGTTGAAGTCAACGTGCTGGTCTTATTGTGGGAAAACTGGGGGATTATTATTCATAATTGTATATCTTCATTTTTTTTGTATGCATTTATTGAGTATAAAGTTTAGTGAACGTTAAGGGTTTGACAGATGTTTATAACTGAAATAACAGCGGGAAATCTTCATGACAGTTTTCAGAAACGCGAAAGAAAGGTTTGACTGAGATGTGAAGGGAGACGATCACATGCACGTGTAGACGCTGCTCTCTCCGGAGGGGCCTCTCTGCCGCGTTTGTTTTCTTTAATAAAACTACATCACCCCAGCTGAGCGCCTGCAATGAGAGCAAATGTAGAAGTGACCCTGGACAGATCTGTCTGCCTCTGTTCTGTCTCACATATGAGTCATGAACAAGACTAAGAAATCTTGTAGTTATTGAGAATCACATCTTAAAATGCTTCTCCAATACAACATGTTTAGTGGTCAATGTGAAGTTAATGGTTGTTATTTGTAGTGGTTGTTATAAGTGAACTATTATTATTATTATTATTATTATTATTTTCTCAATGATGAAACTGTTGAAGTCAATGTGCTGGTCTTATTGTGGGAAAACTGGGGGATTATTATTCATAATATTTTACCAAAACACAATAACTTCAGCTCCTAAATGACTTTCCTTTCTACTGACATCCCAAATCCCTGTTTTTAACCTCTCAACCTCTTGACTTCATTCTGCTTTGTAATTCCCATTGGATAAAATCAAGACCTACTCTACATTTTTGTTTTCTTATTGAATATCACATGGAAATATGAAATGAACTGAAATGAAGTCAAATAAGTTCTTTACATATTGAAAATCATGTTGTGAAATGCTTCTCAAGGTTTAACAAAGTGAAGCTTAATGACATTTTAATGGTTGTGTTTTCACTATTTTTTTCTCGAAATTGTAAATACAAATGTTCATATTTAATTTAATTTGTTACTTGCCGTTTCTTTGTAATTGTGAAATTGTCTAACAATTTCTGAATTAAAATTGTTTCTACTCCAGTGTAAACTGTAAAAAAATATGTTTCAATGTTATGAATAAAAAAATATATATTGGAGTATGTTTTACAAGAAAATACTATTTCAGTCTTTTTAATGAAAAAAAATGACATTTATTGGTATTTAATTGTGAAATTTGCTTTTTTATTTACTAGCATTTTCCCAATGAAATCTTTTCTACACCATTTTTTTAGTGTAGGCAGTCATAACACTAAAGCATGTGACTGAATTTTTATTATTAATAGTAGTAGTAGTAGTATTTTCTCAAAACACCTGATAAATAAAAGTCCACATGAAATCAAAATACCAGTGTAAACTGTAAAAAAATATGTTTCAATGTTATGAATAAAAAAATATATATTGGAGTATGTTTTACAAGAAAATACTATTTCAGTCTTTTTAATGAAAAAAAATGACATTTATTGGTATTTAATTGTGAAATTTGCTTTTTTTATTTACTAGCATTTTCCCAATTAAATCTTTTCTACACCCTTTTTTTTAGTGTAGGCAGTCATAACACTAAAGCATGTGACTGAATTATTATTATTAATAGTAGTAGTAGTAGTAGTATTTTCTCAAAACACCTGATACATAAAAGTCCACATGAAATCAAAATGTACTACCCTATTCACTTTCATAATGCACTTTTCAGGTCTTACTGTGCACAATTTATTGGTGCACATTATTTCAAGAAAAAAAAAAATCTATTCATAATCTTTTATCAAAACATAATAACTTGCGCTCCACCTCTGAAACAACTTTCCTTTCTGCTGACATCACAAATCCCTGTTTTTAACTCCTCCCCTTCAACCACCTGACTTCATTCTGCTATGTAATTCAATGGAAAAATCCTTCTCTACATTTTTTTTTCTTTATTGAATATCCCGTTTCACATGTAAATATGTCAAGTAAAACATGTTGCAGTTCGTGTTGACTTCAAGCCGTTTTTCCCGTATCCGCATAGCAGTGGTGTAGCGATGTGTAAGCAATCAATTACACTGCTTCATTTGCACCCTGTGATTCTGACAAATTTACAATTTGTTTTGCTTCATTCTGGTTACACATGATGAACTGAAAGTCATTTGTCTTTGGCTCTGTGCTTTAATGAGAAACAGTGATAGAGTTTCGGCCCGTTCACTCCTCCAGGAGGCGCTGTCTGTGGTGAGTGAAGACCAGTCTCTGTTTGAGCCTCCGTACGCTGCTGCTGCTCCCTTACCCAAGACAGACATGACTGCGTCCGGCGCACAGGACTACGGTCAGCCTCACAAGATCAACCCTATCCCCCCTCAGCAGGAGTGGATCAACCAGCCCGGCCGGGTTCATGTCAAACGAGAATATGACCATATCAATGGATCCAGGTATGGCTTAAAAACCTCATTTGTCGCCATTATTCTGTATCGGTGAGTTGTTCTGTCTGAAATGAGCATTAGTAAGCAATTTTTGTCTTTTCTCTCTCTCCTGGGTCTCTTTTTAGCAGAGAGTCCCCGGTGGACTGTAGTGTGGGTAAATGCAATAAAATGGTGGGTGGGACCGACGCATCTCAGATGATCTATACTGGCTACATGGATGAGAAGTGTGCTCCGCCCCCAAACATGACAACCAATGAGAGGAGAGTTATCGTCCCAGCAGGTATTCACAGTTCGTCGTGTCATGACTGTGTACTGAATGCTGCATTTATAGAGCACACAACTTTAATGCACTGATTAAATAAATACATGGTGTCGAAACAATTTCCTCTCAGAAATTGCTATTAAATTTATAAATAGTATATTCTTTTGAAACATACTCCAAATAATCATTGTTTTATTTACAACTTACATTTTTTGCAGGTTGCCAGTGAAATAATAAAATATTTTAATATATATTGTTTTGAAATATATGTATTTTAAATATAAAAATGTCCAGTTCTATTAAAATTTCTATTTCAGTTCTATTTCTATTTCTATTAAAAAATGAAAATTCTGTCATCATTTAGTCACCCTCAAATTGTTCCAACCCTGTATGAGTTTCAGCTGATGGACACAACAGCAGTTGACGGTAGCCATTTACTTCCATAGTATTTTTTTTCATACTGTGGAAGTCAATGGCTACCATCAACAGGTTTCAATAGAGTGAGTAAATGATGATATAATTGGTATTTTTGGATGAATTATACCTTTAAGGTGTAAAAGCTGCACCAAAATGAACTGTAAAAATACTGATTCTAAACATAAGAATGCCAACAACCTCAACAATTATTTTCTCGAGATTGTGATTCATTTTCCTCAAGACCTTAATAATGATGATCTGAACTTAATGAAAGTTGCTGGAGAAAACAAGATACTATAAAAAATAACAATAATGCATGACCTTTGGGGGTTTGGAACAGTCATTATTTTGGGATTTCCATTTGGAGCCACTAATAGAGCAGAAATCATTACTTTGTTTCTCTGAAAATTCTAAAAGTTTCTGTAAATGACTAAATCACTGCTTTAGTCCTTACAAGCGGTAATTGTGATACTGGAGTAAGTTTTCACGCCTAAACCAATGAAAGCTGCTTGTTAGCTATCGAATCCCTGATTCTAAACTAATTTGTCTTTATTTCCATTTCAGACCCTTCTCTCTGGTCTCCAGACCATGTGCGGCAATGGTTAGACTGGGCCATTAAAGAGTATGGTCTTCAGGAGATCGACACAGCCATGTTCCACAACACAGATGGAAAAGAACTTTGCAAGATGAGCAAAGAGGACTTCCTGAGACTTACCAGCACCTATAACACGGAGGTCCTGCTCTCACATCTCAATTACCTCAGGGAAAGTAAGTCCACCACCTCTTTGTATTCGTTTGAGATTGGCTAATTTAGTCTTGCACTTTTGCTGCCATTCTCTTGCCTACAAATGTGTAACACACTGTTCATCATTTATGATGTCAGAATATATTGCAACCCTAATATTTTAATATTTTTGTTACAGTCTCAGAAAAGAAATGGTGAAAAAGCTGGGGCGATACACTTTAAGAAAAAATATATAAAAGCTGTCACTGGAAAGGTAGCCACTAATATGCACCATTTAGATACTAATGTGTTACACGAGTTTCACAATTTGAGTTGAATTACTGAAATAAATGAACTTTTCCTTGACATTCTAATTTATTGAGATGCACCTGTATGTACCTTGTAGTGACTAAAATGATAATTTGGGGGTAAATAAGGTACAAAGGTGTACGTTTTGAAAGGTTACCCTTCCAGTGACAGCTTTTGTACCTATTTGTTTTTTTTGTTTTCTGAGAGTGTACCCTTTCAAAAGGTACAATTTGCAATATGTACCTTTAAGGTACTAATATGCACCCTTTAGGGGTAAATAAGATACAAAGGTGTACTTTTGAAAGTGACAGCTTTTAGACTTTTTTTTTTTTTTCTGAGAGTGTATGTTAAGACATAGAAAATAATAAAATAACTAATCTCACACTCCGACGATGTTTTAGAGCAGTGCTTATATTTTGTTTATGACTATTTATGAGGTGCCAAGCAACTGACCAATAAATAGTTCCCAAACTATTCAGAAAAGCTTGTAATAATTGTACCACAACAGTCAAACGTTTGGAAGTAATTGTAACTGTTTAATGCATGACTATCCATGCAAGAAATGGAGCCTAGTTTATTCCACATGGCCGCTGTCATTGTTTTTAGCCACGCAGTGGCACAGTCACTTCAAACCACACTGAGATCAAGTTTACAGAAATATTTTATAACATACTTTTTAATAGTTTGCACATTACGCTCCCTTTTATTCCACTCGAACGCTTTAGTAGGGAGGGCTCCTGTCTCGCTCCACCTGCTTGACTTTTACTGGACACATTTGGTTTGGCAGAGTCACAATGATTATGAATTTCAGCAACAATCCCGTCCAGAGCAACTCCCTCTGAGTGCTCTCGGCCCCAGACTTAGAGAGATGAAGCCCATGTGCATGGCCTCAGGAGACGGGCCAGCGAGGCCCCTGCCTACACACTGCACGGGAAAGTTTATCCCTAATTTACAACAGAGGCATCTTGCCCCATTTCTCTTCCAAAGGATTTCTTATGTTATTTCCCTGCATGTTTTGGCAAGAATCCCACAGCTTCGGCAAAAACTCATCCACTTTAAAACATCAGTGCCATCTAGAAGCGAAATGTCGGGAGGACAAATAAGTCTGTGTTCGAATTATTTGCACGAGAATTGCATCGATAAACAAAGCTACGTCGCATTTAGATGCAATTTGCTGGGATGGCGAGAGCAGCTGGCCCATCTACATGAACATGAAACAAAAACAAAACCCAAACCCCACATTACAGAACCTTTATAAGTGTACAGATGAGTGGTGGAAAAAATGTACATGTGACTGAATAATTAACTGAAATAATGGTGATATACCAAATTACATTTAATATGTATTTAATATATATTTACTATATATATATATATATAATTTTTTTTTTTTTTACTTTTATAATATACTGACAACCACCTTAAAAAGGCAGGTAGTAAAGAACAAAAGTTCAGCTTTTCTACAAGCTGAGGTAAATACTAATATATGATGACATTATATATTGTTAAATTATAACATTATATATTGTTATTATACATTGAACACAAAAATGATTGTATTAATATAAAGAGCACAAAACACAAAACCCTAACTTAAAAAAATAAAAAGAAAAAAATTTAATTTCAATAAAGAATGTGTACATTTACATTTAAAAGTACATTTAAAAGTATTTTACTGTAAAATAACATCAAATGATCCATTAGATATATTACAGTTATATATGAGCAAAAAGTTGAAACATTCTTCAAAATATAAACTACAGCATGAGGGTGAGTAAATGATGACAGAATAGGGATGGGGGGCCGCTATCTCTTTAAGAGGACCATGTGTCATGTAGTTTACATCCGTGTACATGTATGTAGGTCCATATGTTTACTGGAGTGATTTATTTTGAGCCCCAGGGCTCAGGGTTTGAAACCAAAGATGATCACTTTCTTCTCGCAACACAAACAATCACAGTCGCAGCACTCCACAATAAAGCCCTCTGGTTCTGCTCACACACTGGGCCTGGATCCGCATCCATCGGCCCACTGCATGTTTGACAGTGTGACAGTCCGCAGCGTAATCATTTCATACATCTGTGTACATGCTGTGATGTTTACGTAGAATCTAATTAACATTCCTCCGTGTCGTGTCCCGCCTCTGGCCAAACTGCAAGCAAACGCTGACTCAAACAGCACACAAATACATACGCACACATGCATCAGAACAAGCCGTAGATGCAGAGCTGGTGAATGTGTGCGGCGGGTGCGCTGTCTGGTGATACTGGAGCTCAATGGAGCTGGAGGAGGTTTTGTTTTGACTTCGCTGTTGGTCAGTTATTCAGATTTTATTAGCGATTGCCGCCCACTCACCAATGTGCTTTCAATTTGGCTGCAATTTGAGAATTTGTTGGAATTTCATTGCAGGAGGGGAGCAGAGCTGAACTGCTGCCTTTGTCTGAACATACATACACTGTACAGACTGAAAAGATGTGTGTGTGTGTGTGTGTGTGTGTGTGTGTGCGCATTTTTGTGACAAATGAGGACATAAATTTGTATAATGACAAAGGTATGACAGGTATTACAAGGAGAAGGTGACTTTTCGGGACATTTCCCCATGTCCCCACTTTTCAAAACGCTTATAAATCACACAGAATGGAGTGTATTGAAAATCTGAAATAGCACAAAGTTTCCTGTGAGGGGTAGGTTTAGGGGTAGGGTTGGTGTAGGGCAATAGAATATACGGTCTGTACAGTAGAAAAACCATTACGCCTATGGGATGTCCCCACTTTCCACAAAAACAAACCTGTGTGTGTGTGTGTGTGTGTGTTAGAAAGGTTTTAGGAGTGAGTTTGGTTATGCACAGAAAATAAGTGCTTACCCTCACAGAGTCACTGTATGTATCTATTCTCACACATATTTCGTGATGGGACACTTTTCTTCTGTGATGAATGTGTTTTCAGTTTCTGAATTCAATTATTATTATTTTTTTTCTTTAGTGCTTCAACTAATAAAAAAACTGTCTGATGGTTGTAATAAAAAATAAAGTCTCATTATCTTATTATAAGGCTGAAATTCTTGGAAAAAATACATCTTGTAGTTGAGCTTTCTTTAAAACTATTGTGTTTTTAATGGCATGAAAACCTCATGATGTTCATGACATGCCTGTGCACCAATTTAAACTGAATTAGGAATGCTTTTAAAAGTCTAGTTCAGTTCCTAAATTTGATCCGAAGCAATCCAAAGAAGTGAATATGAACTAAAATCCAAATAAATTAATTCAACAAATTTTTGACTGGAAAAGCAAAGTGTGTCATTTTGATGTCTTAAATGATAACAGAGAGAGTGACAGATTGATATATGAAACAATATACTGTCTAGAACGATACATAGAACAAACAAACATCTTAAAACCATCATAACAATGAACAAGACTAAAACGTGGTCTAGGCTAATTAATGTAGTTTTGTCCACGATCTGTTCTGATCCGTTTTGACTTTATGTAGATTAAAAGAATAAATCAAACACAAAAAAATGTGATAGATAGATAGATAGATAGATAGATAGATAGATCATCAGCAACGAAATCAATCAGCAATTTCTGAGTGATTTTGTTCAGTATAAATAAATAGATTCAAATTCAAATCCACCAGGGGAGCAACATGGATCATAAAAGCATAAGCACATGTGCAACTGCACACATAAAACTCAGCTGCTGCTTAACAAAGATGTAGTACAGAACTTCCCTTCAGTTCAGCCCTGTGTTGTTTTCACATTCGTTTTTCGATACAAGTTTCTCTCTCTCTTCCACATGGATGTGTGGGGGTTATTTTTGTATGGGAACAGCAGTCTTTGATTGCTGTGTAGGGATCGCACCCCACACAAAGACGGCCCTGTTCTGTGGCCTCAACGGCATCGCCTCGGGGGCTTTAGGGGCCTGGAGGTTAAAATATGTGTTCGATGCTCTCTCCTCCCCCATAAAACATACCTAAACACTATGATAAAACACCCTGCTATCTTCTCTGAGCTGATCAAAGATCACAAAAATGCCAAATGTCATCCCTTCCCTTTCCTCATTCAGAAAAACACAGAATCCCTCCTTTAGCATCTGCTGAAATCCCACCGCTATAACCATCAGCCCACCAGCCATAGTAGAAGGCTCGGGTTTTGCCAGTGCAATTTTCCTTCTGTTTTCCTTTGCACTGATTTATGAGTGAAAGCAGCTAAAATTAAGAAAGCGCTTCAGGGACGGCTCACTGGAAACACTCTCTGACTGCACATGAATGCCTCTCTCTGTGCGAAGTGTAGATTGTGTTTGGATTGTAATGACAAAACTGAGCAGCTTGTGTGAAGAGAAATGAATGTTGAGAATCAGCCATAAATGATTGATGCGTGAGGAACTGCCTTTTTATAAAATATGCACTTTTTTTGTGTGATACAATGCAATTACTTAATTATTACATGTTTATAAACATCAATTTAAAATCCCATCAATTATATCAAAAATAAATAAATAAGATCTAAGCCCAACAGCTACAAATGTAATGGCCAAAATTGCAAATGCTAAAACTGTTATTTATGCAACAGCATACAATACATAAAATAGAATAGAATACACGTTTATTATATGATATTATTATTTAGTAATATTAAACATTAAAAGTACATTATATATGTATATGTATATATATATATATATTGAATGTGTTTTGTTGGCAGATTTTTAACCTCACTGAATGTAATAATAATTTAATATTTATGAATACGAGAAGGTTTTGTTATATTATTATTTAATAATATTATATAATACATTTTATACAGTATATAATAATATTATGTAATTAAAGATATATATTAAACATATTAAAACAAGTACAATTTTATAAAGATAGTATAGAAAGTATATTGAATTTAAGTGCATTTAATTTTGTTATGTTGACTAAATACTCACTAGATTTAATAATTAAATTTTCAAGAATGGAATAGAAATTTGTTTTTTGTCTATCTATCTATCTATCTATATATATATATATATATGAATTTATTACACCTCTATTATTCTAACATCTTTTTTTTTATTTATTTTTTTTTTTTTATGTGTTGCAGGCAGCTCATCAATGCCATACAACACACCATCTCATACCGACCAGTCTCCTCGCTTGGCTGCCAAAGACGGTATGACAAACTGATTGTCCTCAAAATATATATGTCTTGCTCCAACAATATTTTCATTTGTTCTGCAAATACAATTGCAATAAAAGGCACATTAGGTGAACAGTGCATATGGATATGACATGAGGAACTGAGTCTTATCATTTCATCAAAATAATGGCATTACAGAGTGTTTAGTTGGCCCGTGTCCCCTCTTTCCATCTTTTTCTAGTGTGTATCAGAGCAGGGCTCCAGGCCGAGGCGAAGCACCCAGCAGGTGCTGTCTTTGTGTGCCGCAAATAAAAAGCGTCAACCATTCAGTTTCCACCTGAGCATGGACAGCAGAGGCTCTCAGAGCAGAGAGACAATTAGCAAGACAAAAGCTACATGCAGGAAAGAGAGAGACAGGGACACATACAGAGAAAGAGTAGAGAGACAGGTGTCTCTGTGAACAATACAGCAGAACTGGACTGAGATGTTAATGGAAGACACGTGTGCCATAATAGCAGTGATTTAGGGCGTTTTGTACGTGCGGACGTTACCTAGACTGAGTTTATAGCATAAGAGCATTGAAAAGGTGGACAGCACAATAACATTTTTAGTTTACCATAATATCAATATCAGCCCCAAAATGAATTGTTGCTTGTGTCAATAGAAAGTGGAATAAAATAAAAATGAAATGTTTAAAGGGGTCATGAACTGAGAAATCAAAATTCCCTCTATCTTTTGACATTTAAGAGGTCATTGTACTATAAAATATCCTGTAAGTTTCAGAACTCAAAACGTTCTAGTTAGTCTAAAAACAGCTTATATTGAAGCCAATCTGCCAAAACAACAGCTCGTGGAATGTGTCACTTTATGACGTAATAGTGAGGCTAAACCCCACCTCCGCAGAAGAAGATCAACGCCTGCTTCTACAGCACTGCCTGTTTAGCCCCGCCCACCGAGTCGCGCATGTAGTGTAAATAACGAGAGAGGCAAACACAGGTCTACACAGAAACCAAATGATAAAGATGCTCCGAAAATGACAAGACGCTGTGCAGTGCCAAGCTGTGGAAAAACGCAATCTTTACATCACCTTCCTTCTGATCTCAGCATTAGGAAAGAGTGGATGAAGTTTTTTGTTGACTTCATTTTACCGCGGATTCGTTTACAAAGAACGCACAATCCGCCACGTCTATTCAAACAGAGTGTTCCGATGAGGGGGGTCAAAACAGGACAGAAAATAGCCTATTACTTCTAAAGTATGATGTTTTTTGATGAACAGTACAGCATAATAAAAAAGGCAGTACATGACATGCTCTTTGAAACATCTCAAATCGTGCTTGAGAATGTGATATGGAATTAACCTCCTGCAATGATGCCTGTGTATTGCAGTTAGAAGGTCTTTGCATTAACAGCTGCATATATAACCACAACAACCCAACACAAAGAATTTGCAAAATAATGTGTTTTTGAAGCAGAAACAGTCCGTTTTTTGGGCATCTTTGGATTTTTGTGGATATTGTGGATTGTTGTTGAATTGTCAGCAGGGGCATAGCAATCATTATAAATCAGTAATAAATAACCATTTATAAAATAAAAAAATAAATATAATAATGGCAATCAATTATTTTATAGGTTTTATAGCTTTATAAAAATAAATATAAATATATTAGTAAAAGTAATAAAATATATTTTAAAACAATTTATTTTAAAGCAATAATTATTTAATTAATATGATCATTTACATTATTAATAAATTATCAAATAAAACAAAAGCCATACGATTGCATCTGCAGCAGTAAGCTAGAATCCTAATAAGTGTATTATCTCAGCAAATCATGTAGGATTCCAAATAAATATTAATAATAATAATAATAATAATAATAATAATAAACTGTATTTATAATGCACCTTTCAGACCATTATTGACATAAGTCACCCAACCTAAAAAAAA